AATTTTTGCTTACTATCAATCACAGATCTGGGAACTTTCCCGGAACAGCATCAGGTTAAAACTCCTGGCAGGAGTAGCTGTGATTTTTGGAGTAGAAAAGGAACCAAAACATAATATCAAGGCTTATTCTTGGAACTTGCTAGCAAGATACTATCAGACAAACATCCTGGTATAATTTCCTATTTACAGCCCAAAAAACAAAACAAACCACAGAAGAGAGACTCTGGGAGATTCAAATTCAAATATGGGAGCAAACATGAAAAACAGTCTTGAAAGACAAAATAATCTTAGCACAAGATTGTTATGCTAAAGTCAAACATAATTTTCCCCCCAAAATAAATAAAATTATAGGCATAAATGATGGTGGTAGAGGAATTTGAGCATTTGTGTATATCTAGCTATCTATACATAGACACTTAAAGGTATATGTACAGACATTTAAAAATATACATAAAATCACACATATACAAAAAAACATATAAAGAATCTCTCCAAAACACAGAAGATTATCTAGAATTAAAGAACAAATCTCTAGAACTTTTCTTAATAGCTGAAAAATACTGTGCAGACCACATTCAATATTTTGGGGGCTTCTGTGGCTTCTTAGGAAAGACAGGAAAGAATTAAAAATCCATTTCCTTGTGATAACAAGTAAAATGAGCCCCAAGGGCTGAATCAGGCTTCTACCATGAAAGAAAAAGCATGAAATGCTGAGTCAGCACAAAAGTGCCTAGTCCTGATTGCTCCATTTGTACCAAGAGTCAGCTGAAAGGCAACTTGTGTGCTTTTACAGAAACTATCCCCAAAATAAATGAGCAATGCATCCCTACTGTGATATAGAAAGAAAAAAAAAAGGTCTAAAATCTGGAACAATGCTTGAAAATAGCCCTTAATCTGAAAGAACCCAAGTAGAAAAACTGGAAATGTATTTCTTACACATTGTAATCAGCTGTAAAAGGCTAAGAGAACATATCAGTTGTCTGCCTAGCCCTACAGTCCTGTAAAACAAGCACACAAGGAGAAGCCCCATGGGACACAATGCAAACGTGTTGTTGCAGGGGGAAGAAGGCAGAGAAAGCAGCAGCAGCAGCCAAACCCCATGGCCCCAGGCTCACCACACTCACTTACAGGGCATCAGCCTCAACAGGGCCCTCAAAGTCTGACACAGGACAATTGCTGGCTTTAAACCTCCTATAATTGTTACTTCCTTTATGAGAACAAATTCAAGAAATTAAGGGTAAATGTTGGGAAGCTGGGCCATCCAGACAACCTTATGATCAGGGGAAAACAATAAAAAGAAATCAGTGTGGCAGTGATGTTGCATTTAAAGATGTGGTCAAAGGTTGTTGAATCTCCATCCTTGGAGGCTTCAATGTTGGACTAGACACCCCAAAGTTTCCTTCCAACCTCCATCCTTCTCTGACCCTATGGCTTATTTCACTTCTAGCCTTGTACAAACTGTATGATCATTTAGTAACTTACATTCTTATCCATAAGTCTTCCAAATGAACATTTAAATAGATTATTTATACATAATATTTATTTGTTTGTATGTATACTTTCAATAAAACTAAACAATTCTTGTGTGATGAAACACATTGTCAGTTGCTGATGTCAAGCTCAGCCAGATAAAGGAAGCAGAAATTGTCTGAAGGAAACAACTGTAGTTGTCAAGTTCTTTGGGTCTGCAGGTCAATAGAACGGAATCAGTCATCAAAAAAGCAAATTACAGTAGTGGGAACAAGAAGGACTAACAACTTTCTAAATATTTTCACTGCCAGGAATATATTGGTAGGAGAAAGATCTATATTGGAAATGTCCTGGATTTATGAGTATAGTCAAATATCATCAATCCATACATTATTTGAGAGAGTAACCTCAGCCAAACTATTCTTTTCTTTCTGAACTGTATTAGAACAGTATTACCAGACACAGACATTAGCAAATACCTGCCACAGTTCCGTTCCCATGGCAGGTCCAGGATGTACAACATGCAGCACTAGGAAGAGATTTTTGGAACGAGTTTCTGACACAGAAACACCTTGTGCAATCATTTTGCATATCACATTTAACAGCTTACTGGTTCAGACACTATCTTATTAGCAAAACTCTTGTTTTCATTGGATTCAAATGTTTTCACCAATTCACACACAGAGAGTGGGTTCATTGATCAGTGTGGGAGGACATTAATGTCAAAAGGAGCTTTGGGGCATCCAGGTGGTGTAATGTTGTCTCTTTTTTGGTATCTAAAATGTCCTGATTGCCTCCACACATACAAGAATATGCTGAAACAGACCAAAAGCCCATAGCCCAGAACAGAATCTCCAAGTATAGTATCTGTCAATATCTCCTGAATGTTTTATTTAAATTTTCTAGTGGATGGACTATGCTTTACAGGAAATAGATTTTTGGAACAGGGAGGTGGCAGAATTTGTTACATCCATTTTCATGCATCAACCATGTATTGCAGGAATCCTGCAGAAGGTACAATTCCAGCAAGCCACCAGGAAGACCTGTAAATTAGTCACTTCTTTATGAAAGCCATGCTGTAAGTTGAACTGCATTGAGTCCAACACAGATTTTTGTGGGAAATCTTTGCTCCTTAAAACAAACAAAAACCAAAACTAACCAAACAAAAAAACTGAAAAAAAACACCAAAAAAAAAAATTCACAGATTCTACTCAGTCATTTATAAATGCAAGGAATTTCCAGATTATTTCACAGTTGTTTACAGAACTCATCAAGTAACAACACACTTCTTTATCCATATAATTAAAACCTTCGAAGAACTCAAAGATTTGTGAGACACATCATCCTTGACAAAAGCCTTGTTGACTTTCTCAATAGATCACACCCTCCCATCTGTTACTAATTCTTTCCCTTACCACAGTTTGTAGATAACATGCCTGGAAAAGATCCAAGGCTTGCCAGCACACAGTTCTCTGGTTCTCTTCTGGGAATCCACTAAAAAATGGTGCATTTGTCATCTTCTGGTACCAAAGCTGTTTCACTGATCACATCTAAAATTTAACCTTTGCATGATTTTGGTGGACCACTGAAGTCTAGTTGCCATTTACCATTACTACTTACTTCCCATCATTATAGCCTCACCCATCACCAAAATGTTCATTAGAGGTCATAAGTAGTCAAGCATTACCCACCTTAAAATAAAAATATACATAAATAAGATTTCCCTTAAACTCGAGTTTTTGAACTGAATAACCTCTAATCTTGGAACAAACTGTAATGCATTTTCTATGGCTGTGGGTTTGGTGATAAGTTTTTAATTTTTTTTTTTTCTTACTTCAATCTTTTATGGTCTTCCTTCTTGAGAGAAGGAGTTAACACTTGGTTGCAAAATTGCCTTTGGGAAAGTTTTTTTCAATTGCTGTGTGAGTTGGAGAGATGTTCTGAGACATTCTTGCCATAATTTAGATTTAACTGTGTGCAAAGGCATGAAGCACCTGCCAACAGTACAATACAGCCTCAGCTTCAGAAGGCAATTATCTCTGAGATTATGTCACTGATGCTTCTGTGATTCTTTTGGTTTGGATATATTTTGTCATTTCAGCATCCATATATTCAAATCAAAAAGGGTCTGCTGTTGTAGCAAAATCTATTTAAATAATTTTCATTTCTAGAATAGTCACCCACAACCATCTATAATGTCTCCTATTCAACAACTGTGACCTTCCAATTCATCTAGCACCCTGTTGTAGAGAAATGGCAGAAGTCCAAAATAACTCATTGAAATAATTAATTCTTCCCACGGAAATGAAACTAAAATGGTCCTTTTTGACCTATGGTCTACAGACTGCTGATAAGAGGGAAATAATAAGTAAAACAAGCTTAGTGTCAGGCTCAAACTCATCATGAAAAAGCCTTGCATTTGCAACTTTTTGAAAGCCATCATAAGATTCATGTTTCAGACTCAGCACTTACAATTAGAGTTGGCTAAACATTGGGCAGGACACACAGGCATGAAGTGAATGCACAGGAGAGGCAGAGCCCTGCCTTTTCCACAGCTTTTTATTACCATATTGTACAAACCTGTTGCAATGAAATGAACCAGCTGAAGCCACGCTCAAGTGAAACAGAAATGAGTCAGTAGCAGTCGTGGCTCCATCCCATCCCCTGTCATGGCTAGCATATCCCCTTAACTGGCTAGCCCTTCCTCTCACCAGCCAGCCGCTCACTCACAGGAGAGCCCAAGACGGTGCCACACTTGAGTATTTGCACAAGGACACAACAGTCAGACCTGTTGTGCCACGCTGGCTTCATAGCTGCACTGAGCCATTGCCTATAAACTAGAGCCACCTCATCTAACATTATCTAACCCTTCGTTTACAATTGCCTATGCCATTATCTGCCACTGGTGTCGTAACTGTAAATGTAATTTGTAAATGCACCTTGTGCCAGCAACCATGCATCCCAGATCAGGCACAGTCCCACTTCAGAATACCATTCCCTACCTTTGTGAGCACCATTTCTAGCTCATTCCTGGTAAAACTGCTCTTTTAAACTGTGTGTCTTAAGACATTTGAATACAATCCACAGCTGAAGTCTAGGAAGCGTAACATTTGTAAAGCTGGGAGTGACTGGAAAAGCACGCTGCTGCCCAGTAGCAGCAGGAGGGGACAGCAGCAGGAGAAACACGGCAGAGCAGCGTAGCTTGAGGACTGAAAACACACTACCAGAGAAAATAACCTCTACACACACCACCAACACGCGATTTTGTACTGCCCTGTGTAGGTGCGGCAGCCTGCAAAGTCACCAATCGACTTAACTCTGAGAGCGAGCGCTGTGATCCAAGAGTGTTTGGGATGGGAAAGTTTCCAAAAGCCTCCACGCTCCTGAGCGAGAGGTACTCAAGAGAGACACGACTAGCCCCGCGCTGACCGCTGCAGCAGACACTGCAGTTTGCCGGAGCGGCTCCGAGCCACAGCAGCGGCAGGCACGGCTCCTCTGCCCCGGCCCCACCTGCCTTCGGCAGTACTCACAGCGGGTGCCAGCGCTCGGGCAGGCGGCGGTGCAGCGAGATGCGGTCGCTCAGGTAAATATTGATCTGGTGTCGGCGGATGCTCTCCTCCTGGCGGCGCTTCTCGGCCGGGCTCAGCTCCAGCCTCACCGCCCGGCCCAGCTCCCCCAGCGCCCCCGGGTCCAGGGCCGGCTTAGCGTACACCGGCCGCCGCAGCAGCTCGGAGTCGGGGGACAGCGGCTGCGGCGGGGCGCGGCGGGCGGCGTGGCGGGGCGGCGGGCCGTGCCGCCACACGAGGAAGCCGAGGGCGGCCAGCAGCCCCAGGGCGAGCAGCGCGCCCTCGCCCCGGCAGCCCCGGCCGCGCTTGCCCCAGCACATCCCGCGGCCGAGGCGGCCGGCCATGGCGAGCGGGCGGCGGCTGCCGTCTCCCGGACACGGCAGCGCCTCCGCCCCGGGCAGAGTCGCGAAGTTCTCACGGACCTGCCCACGCCGCGATACCAGCCCGCCGCCAGCGCTGCCCCGCCAGGAAGCCCGCACGGCTCCTCCGCCGCCGGCTCCTCCCTCCTCCCCGCCCCGCCGCCGGCCAGCCCGGAGGGGCGCGGCGCGGAAGAGCCGGGCACGGGCGCTGCAGCGGGGACGGGAGCGCTGCCCCTGGGCAGGGACCCCGCCCCGCTTGTCCCTCAGGGGTGCTGCGCCCCTGCCCCCCGCCAGCCGCCTCCCCGGGAACGGTGTCCCTCGGTTTCCTGGTGGTCGGAAGGCTTGGCCTCCGAGGGTTCCAGCACCCCAGGGAAGGCACACCGCTCCAACCTGCTCCGCGCTCACCCTGGGGACACAACCAGTGGAACCAGTGCTGGTGCTGACCCATCCCGGGGCAAGGAGGGAGTAGAAGTTATCCCGGTTCTGCTAGATCACACAGAGCTGGGATGTGGGGAGGAGGGAGGAAGGCATGTTTCTTTTGCTGTCACCCTTCAAGCGAAAGGTGATCTGGTCGCCCTGAAGCTTAAGGAACTTTCATAAGCACTGATAGCTGCATGGCGGATATACAATTTCCCCAGCAAGCCAAAGCACTGCTGGCACTGAGCTGCCAGGGCCACAGCAAGCTGCTTTGGCCCCTGGGACAGCCCCAGGGCTTGCTGTCTATAGACAGAAATTTTCGGAGCTGCAGGACAGCAAGGAAGGTTATTTCCCGCAGAGGGACTAGGAAGAGCTTAGGGGTTGAAAGGAACAAATTGATAGGAAAACAGGCTTCATTCATTCTGCTACCAGTAAATAGCATGTGCTTCAGAAGTAGAGCAGAACACAAGCTAAGAAGTTATAGGCATTAATGACAAGCTTTTTTGTTGAATAAATTAGTGTTCTTGGCTGAAAAAGGAAGTCAACCTATGTTGCCTCATTGAGAGAAATCCAGAAGCCTAGAGAAAATCCCAAGTTTACTATACAGGTAATGGGCAGTCCATTCTATGGCTGGACAGAATCATGGAGGAAAAAAAACAACAGTAGCACTAGTTAGAACTTTCAGATTTGCTTCATACTCAACAACATATCCATACTGTTTGTTTTACTTAAGCCCCTAACAGTATGAAGCCCCATCTGCCTAAACTTGTGATCTGGAGGTGGTGATATTACCAGAGAGCTCCTGATTTTGCATTTGAAACACTTTAACATAAATGTAACATAACTGGATACAGTTTCTCTCTTACATGCAGTAGGGAGCTGGAACTGGTTTTGAGGTGTCATTTGCTCCACTTGTTTTCCAAAGAAATTGTTCACTGCAACATGCTCAGCTGCTGGACGCCTGTCAAGATCAACCCAGCAGAGGAGTTCAGTCATGCCCGCAGAGAGAACTTCAGGCCAGTACACAGCATTGGGTGGTGCTCACCAGCACTACTAAGAAGTGAAAGAAACTAACACTAAGGAAGGGAAAACATTTAGTCACTATCAGGGTAAGAGCATACAGCTATGAGCTCTTTCTTATTTTGCATGATAATAAATATTGTATGTGACAACAAACACATTCAACTACTGTGGAGACCATGCTCTGGACAGAAGAGTGCTGAAAACCAGTGACTGATTCTGATTCTGCCAAGCTAGTATAAATCGAGTGATTTAGATGGATTTGCAATGACTGTGTGTATAGACAGACTAATATTCATCTATACAGCTAGCTATCACATGTATAATAAATACATAAATCTATAGGCATAAATAGGCATAAATCTAATTGCAATATGCTTTGTAAACAACTACTAAATACCAATATGTTGGACATGAGAATTCACATTGCATATAAAAGAAGCCGTGCCTAGCAAACTTTGGGTCTGAAGAGTCAGGTGGCACCAGTTATTGCATGCCCAGTGTTTGCTTTGCTTCCTTGCTTGCCATCTTTCTGAATAAAGGAAGCATTTTCCTGGAATGAATCAAAGGAGAAGTGATCCTCCTGGACTCCCAAAAGAAGTTACTGAGGAGATTGGGAAGAGGTAAAGAGCAAAATGTAGGACTAAGGGTTAATTAAGAAGACTGAAAAAAAAAAAGTTAAAACCCAAGAAAAAAACTATAAGAATCTGTATTTTATGTAAGTATCTTAAGTATTAGAGCAATATGGAAGAAGCACAAGAACATGATTACATGACTAAAACAAGTTCTGAAACAAAAAAATGGGAAACAGAGAACCAAAATTACAGAACTGCTCTCAGCAGTAATAATGCTCTTACAGCAAAGTAATGGGTGAAGACTTTCTGTGATTATCATCACAGTGGGAATTGAAAATATTCCTAATAATGGGATGTAAATATGATGGGAAGACTGAATGTTCTGAGCTGAAATAGTTAAGGTGTGAAGAATTCTCTCTGAACATACAAATAAGCCCCAGAGGAAAAACAATCTACAATTAATAAGGCAAATGAATGAGTTTACTGCTGGCCATAAAACTTGTAGCAACATTTTCATGGAAGAGTTCCTTTTAAGAAGTTCTCTTGTTTCTTTCAGGTGGAATAAGAATAGAAGTTAAAACAATTAGCTATGTTTTTTAGTGTTTAAAGAGTTATAATTTCATTTGCTTCAGGAGTTTCAAACAAAGATAAGTAGAGTAACCAAACAAGTGATATAAAAACTCTAATTACTTATCTAGAAATATCTATTGTGTCCTTAGTTGTCCAAATTAAAACAGAAGATCAGTAGAATAATCAATGCCTTTGAAAAGTTTATTTTTAAAAATGGAAATTTTTTCTTTACCTCAAAAAGTATACAAAATATTAACTAAACCTATCAAAAAGCACTAAGATATAAAAACTAACCGCAACAATATGTAATTGTCCACGAGACAAGAATTCACATTATAGTGAATGTAATAGCTGAAGTTAAGAGTGTATCTGTTGCTTTCTGAAATATGTTTGAAATGCAGGTAATATTTAGTTCATCTAAAATACATGAGCTTTACATATAGGGAATACCTAAAATGCATGAGTTTTTTTAGGTTTCACCTAAAATACATGAGGTTTGCATATAGGGAATACCTAAAGAGGTAAGATAAGGTGAACTATTTGACACCTGTAGAGTTATTAAAAGGTATTCTTATTTTAAATGATGACATATACATTACAGAAAAAAAACTGAACTATTAAATTTTGCAAATTTTTCTTTTTGTGTGTAAAAAGCAAAAATCTAAAATAGAAATAGAGTGCGAAGACTGTATTTTCAATAAGTTAAAGAGCTTCCTAAATTCACACTTCCAGAGTAAAAATAGAGTATCAATTAATGTATTTCAGAATAAAGTTCCTAGTTCTAGAAAAAGCCAATGCTTACATATTCTAAAGAAAAAAGAAAAATCAGAAGAATATGATAGGAAACATCATGTACAAAAACTTTGGTCATAGATAGGAAATTTGCTTAAGGAAAGGAAGAATCGTACAAGCTATAAAACATACCCACTGGAGATAGTATTGGACCTATGGGCTCATTGTTCACCATTGTCTTAAATGTGCATAAAAACTGTGCACTGCCCTCCAACATCATCCCCCCCCCCCCCCCCCCCCCCCCAGTTCTCACCTTGGCTGCTCTTTCTCTCCTTTATCAGCACAAATATTTTTAAAATATTATTATTCAGCCTATAACTACCAGTGCCAAGGATTTTTTTTTAAATAAATGCGTTTGGATTGAAAGTCTCTTTATTCAAGACAGCTGCACAGCGCATACAAAACACAAAATTAGCCACACCCTGCTTCCCCAGTGCCAAAGGGTCCTAGTGCTTCAGCAGGATCCCTGTTTTACAGGGTAAGCTTTGGGTCAAGAGGGAAGCTGGGTGTATAGTGCACAGGTAGAGAGATCAAGGAGTTGAGATGAGAGGAAGAACTCTAAAAATAAAACAGATTAAAAACACAGACTTGATGACTGACATAGAAACTGTCGCCTCCTTCAGGGACCTTCTATCTGATGAATGCTGTGAAATTCTCCTAGTGACAGGTCAATAAAATGAGGCAGCATTCAGTGGATTACTTGGCCAAGACCTCAGCTACACCAGTTTGCAGACCTCTGTAGAACATGTATGTGCACATGTACATGTGTATGTGTACACATAGATAAATTACACACACAAAATGCCTTGCTCAGAAACTCACATAAAAGCCAGGACAGACAGACAGAGATAGAGTATGCATGTCAAAGGCATCAGTCAATATATTTGCTTGCTGTAGGTATGTATTGCTTGCAGATAATTTTTTTCTTAAGCAAAATAGCAAGCATGAACTACAGGCAGTGGAACATATAATGTACATAAAGGAAAAGTAGGCCAGGAAGCTTAGCTGTCAGAAAGTATTGCAACAAAACTGCAGTTCTGCTCACAAAGTATGGTATGATGTGGCATGTTAATGAAAATATGTTTTGTTGGAAACCTGACTGATTTTTCATGAAGTCTCATGCAGACACAATTAATTAAAACACAGAGTTGCAAATACTTTCTGAATGTTTGTCAAAATTATGGCATATTCTGAAACATATAAATGAAGTAAATTCCTCATAAAGGTATAGCACATGGTTATAGTAGACAAAGGGAAGACCATGATTAAAATTCAGAACCAAGAAGTCAAGCAGGTATTGCATAGTGAAATTAATCTTTGTCACCCTACACTGTAGCTGCTTACTACTATTTGGTTTTTTGTAATTTTTTCAAAGTTGTTTCTGTTTCTATGCCTGAAAGGACCACAGTTAACATACATTAACAAGTCCATACTGCGGAAGCATTTCCTGTTCTGTGATGGTATTTCTAATATATGTATCTTCCTTTTCATTAAGGCAGAGATAAGTGTTTTTACACAAAAGACATACTAAAAATTTCAGTTTTCTTTTTCTCAGAAGTATGACTTCCTTGTGATTCACATCAGTAAGATTCTACAGTAGAAAATAAGTATTTTACCTCTTAAATTGCCATGAAAAAATGCCATCATACTTGGGGATTTGAGATGCCACCAACCTCAGACTTTGAAAATACAGATTATGAGTGAGTCAGCTGTTTCTAATTTTATGGATTTCTTTGGAACAGATTGTTTGACAACTTGCATTTTAACATTTCTGAGAGGCTTTTGATTATGATGGCAATTTTACAGTTTTCCATATTTCATGATCCTGAATTATATACAAGGTAGAGATTTGCTCATGTGTCACGGTATGTATCCAAATATATTACATCCTGTTACTATTGTATGAGCAACAGAATTTTTTTGTCACCTTACCTGGCCAATTTGTAGTTCTACACCATTGCACATTGCCATCATTACACTTACTTTAATGTTCCACAGGCACATTACATGCTCTAACAGTTTCCTAGGCTATGTTTAGCAAAAGATGAATTCTGAATCTTGAAGAACAATAGCCCTAAGTAATTTATCTCTTTTATTTCACATTATATGATGAGTAGCATCAATAAAACTTGTATCTCCTTGCCAGTATTGCTGGTGTTTTGAGATCATCAGCAGTGGAGACTTATGCTAGAGAATTTTCATAGATGTTGATTCCTGACGTGTGTACTCCTGCCTTATCTGTTCTGCACTTTTTAGTGGGCCTGTTCTGTTCCTTGCACTTTCCTCATCTTTATTTGAAAATAATTTCTTCATTCATTTGGGTTTTTTCTGTAATTTAAAATTATTTTAACCTTGGAGCAATCTACCATTGAGCTATATAAATTAGCACAGAACTGATGCAAAGGAATTTCTTATCAAAAGCAATGTATTTTTCACTGACTGGATAAAGATGCAGTTTGGAAAAAATCTTCTGAACAACTCACACACAATCTACACTTGAGAATCTTGGTTTTATTTTGTCCCATCTTATCTTCCAACCTAAGTTTTCTCCATTATCTTATCCTAACGAACTGTTTGAAAGGCTTAGGTTGTTCTTTCATTGGTGAAGAAATCAAATCCTATATTTTCCAAAGAGCTTGGTACTGCATCATCCAGGAGAAGACTCCATAGCAGTTTATTAATTTCAGAAGAAATTTGGTTATTTTTCCTTGCCTTGATTGTCAGTCTGTGACAGAAATCCCTGAGTGATCATACCAGTATAAAAGCCTACTGAAGATGGTAATGACCATCAGATGACAGCAGCAGAATTCAGGACAAATAATTTTCCCTCTCATGTTTTAAACCCCATCAAATATTTCCTATGTCTTATAAACTTCTTAAAATAGGTGTTGCATCTTTTGCTGATAGGTTTCTAAATCCATTAATGATATCTTTGTCTGGAGTTGCAAACCACGAGTAGAAATTGATAGCATAACCATCAGCTACGTAACATAAATTTGTAGGATCAACATGTTGAGTAGCTTATCTCAAAGATAAACTGGAGTGATCTTGTCACTAATTTGACTATATCTTAGCATGCACTTTGATATGGTAAGTATGACCCAATTTTCTTCAATAATGAATAATGTATTGCATAAATCACTCTTTCCATTCCCTTCTGCCAGGCTCTGAAATCTTACAAAGAGTGAAGTGCACCATCCAGCTTTATTGACAATGGCAAGCTTCTCATATTGCTGTAATGTAAGGATGGCTGTAGGATGATTTGGCTGGACCAAAATTCTACCAACCCACCCATCTTTATTCTGCTGACGGCCACTGTAAGCTTCTTTATGCTTAAGAAAATTATTTAACATAAATGTAGGCAACACATACTTAATTATTCTACATGAGTTAACACATGTTATTTATAATGAAAGAAGTATCCTTGAACACCTGCCCTGTCCAAGAAATTGTTCTATTATTTCTGTAATGATAAATAAGCAAATACTTATTTTGTTTTGCTATGAATGGTACTTTCCCAAAGAAAAAGTGTCCATAACTGCAGCCAAGACTCTTGTTTGCTGTAGACTTTCTCCAAGTGTAACTTGTTCGGCCCTTTGCCATGATGATCTAGTAATCTGGATTTGCCAGTGTTTCAGAGCCAAAAGGGTGTAAAACTTGGAAGATGAGGATGCCACTGCCTAAAACCAGGGGATTGCTACATTTTAGTGGCATTTGGTAGTTTTATTATATTATTTTTAGGTTTTCCTAGTCTTCTCATCCCCAAACCCTCCATCCTGTAACAGGTGCCCTGTCCTGCCATTGAAGTCACTGATTTTCATAGAAAATTACCTATCTGAATTTACAGACAGGGACACAACACGATATCCTTGAGTGACAAAGTTCAAGATTTTTCTTTTCTTCTTTGCCTTGCTTTAGATGTAAAATCAGTTTAACCTAGGAAAGATTTCAGGATTTCCTAGGGGTCTGGAACTGAAGAGAAGACACACAGGAAATCTACATTTTATGCACAAAGATTTTAAACTGATGTCTAATCAGCGCTGTCAGGAGATGAGACATGGGTATTTGTAGGGCAAAAGACTGAACTTCAAATCCTGTATCTCATTGAAAGGAGAGATCGCTTTGGAGCTATAGGAGACACAAAGTAGAACGGTGCAAGTAAAGGCTGAAGCATCACGTACACGGAGCGGGGCTGACAAAGGGACCGCGCCAGGCTGTACGAAGTCGCGTTGCGAAGCAAGAAAAAGGGATTGTTGTGTCAGGTGAGAAGGAATAAACCCCATAGCGAAGGCCTGCTGAAATGACCCCGGGCAGAAAAGACACGCAATGCGGAGACATTTGATTGTGTGGCAGCCAGTAACGGCGCGGAACGGCTGCAGCCAGAGCGCAGAAATCCCTCGGCGAGGAGGGCAGGAGCCGTGCGGACACAGGCGCTGGCTGGGCGAGGCAGGGAGGCACCGCAGGGGGCTGCCAGCGGGGCAGGAGAGGCGCCGAACACCCCGGCCCAGGCTGGGCTAACCCTCGGCGGCTCCGAGGAGCGCGGCCCAGCCCGGCTCCCCCTTCGCGCCGGGCGAGAGCGGCCGGGGCGCTACGGCCGCCCTGGGCCGGCCTCCTCCCGCCAGGCGAGTCCCCTCCTCCCCGCTGCCTTCCCGGCGGCGGCGGGGGCGGTCGCGGGCGGCCGAGCCGCTCGGCGCCCGGCAGCGCTGCCCATGGGGGAGTGCGGCGTGCCCCCCCAGGTCCAGCTCTTCCTCCGCGCCTGCGAGCAGGGCGACTGCGAGACCGCCCGACGCCTCCTGGGGCTGCCCGGCGGCGGCGGCCCCGCCGACCCGGCGGCCCCCTCCTCCTCCTCGGGCGGCGCCGAGGAGACGGCGGCGGAGCCCCGCGGCGAAACGTCGTCCCCGCCGAGCCCCGCCGTGCCCGTGGACTGCACGGACGAGGCCGGCAACACGGGGCTGCAGTTCGCCGCGGCGGGAGGCCACGAGCAGCTGGTGCGGTTCCTGCTGCGGAAGGGCGCCTCGGTGCAGAGCAGGAACCACTACGGGTGGAGCCCCCTCATGCAAGCGGCCAGGTACAGGGGAGAGGGAGGGAGGGATCGGGCCCGATGGGGTCCCAGCTTCGGCCTAGTCGGCGGCAGCCCCGGGGCGGGGATGGGAGGGAGGGCCGCCGGGGCTCTGCCTTCCCCGCCCCCGGGCTGCCGCGGGCGCTCGGCTCCCTCGCCCTGCGGACCGCGGGCCCCGGGCCGGGGCAGGGCGCCATGTTGGAGGCCGCGGTGGGTTGCGGAGCCCGCGGCTGTCCCGGGGAGCGGAGCGGTCACTCGTCCCGTCCTTGGAGGGGCTGGCCAGCGTAGATCTGGCTAAGTGCTATCCTGGGGCACTGGGAACTATTCATGTTAAGAATGTGGTGTTTACTATTCCTTGGTTAAGCCGGCGCAAAATTGGAGCTAACGTGAACACGAAACACTGCTCTCCTCTGTGACGATAGCTGTATGCACGTAGCCTTACTTAATTTTCTATTTTTCTATTTTTTTCCCGTCTGTATGTGTCTTTCTTACTTGTTGAAAACTACGTCTGACATAAAACATACTGAAGCAAACTGAAACGATTAATTTCACTTGGCTGGCCCATGTTTGCCTAGGTGGCTTGCTGGAGGATAGGGAAAATCATTACTGAGGGGTTTTAATGACAAACCGGTTGTTTTCTGCATCGGTGACACTGTCCTTTCATAACCCACTGCTGGGCCGTGGGAGGTTCCCGTGTTGCTGATGCTGGTGTTGGTACTTTGTCTTTATTCCTAGGCACACCTTGAGCTCACAGGCGTGTTCTGCAGGGTTGGAGGGCATTGCTGTCCTATAATAACTGAATGCTTAATCAGGAGAATATTTTTTTGTTGTTGTTGTTCTGCTTTGGTTGTTTTTTTTTTGTTTGTTTGTTTGTTTTGTTTTTTTTGTTGTTTTTTCCATAACATTAAAATATTTGGAAGAAAATAATATGTTTCAAAGTCAGTATTTCTCTTCTCAATTAATGGCCATAGCAAGTTCCCAGAGGATGAGTCACACAGCTGGTTTCCCAGAAAGAACAAGGAAGACAAAGTTCAACAATTTGGTTATTTTATGAAGGTTTTAAAAAAAGGAAAAAAGTTGTAGAAGCAGTTTTAGATTTTTCCCCCTTAATGAAAACCATATGCTCATTTCCTAAAAACAATAAAGTCAGATATAACCCTCTCACTGATATCAAGAAATTACTGACTGACATTTGAAAAGTACTGTATATATATATATATATATATATATGTATATATATATATATACATATATATATGTATTTATTGTTATATATATATATGTATTTATTGTTGAGAAGCATATAGTAGAAAAGTATGTTTCTCTTTTCTTTTTAATGGATAATCAGAAAAGAAGCCCAGTGTTTGTGCAAAAGTAGGCTTCAGACTTAGGTAACTGTTTAATTTTCTGGCTGTGATTAGCTCTGTTGCAGTTGGACAGGAGGTGGCATGTATGCATAAAATTAACTGTGTGCAGGGGTTGCAGGCTCTACTGAAGTGATGGAGTGAAGGGTGCAGGATAGACCTAAGGAGTACACAGGCTCCAGAGGCTTCCTTCTGCAACTGTGTACTTTCTGGAAGGAAACGAAGGACTCTGGGGCTCGTGGTTGGTAGCATTCTTTGGGGTTTCCTTGACTAAGCTTTGCTTTGTTGTAATATACAAAGGCTGCCTTCAGGGTCAAAAGTTGGGTTGTGCTAGGCACAATGTGCATGAGCATGTAGTAGTGCACGATGCCTGCAACAACAGCATGATGCACACATCTTGTCAAGGTATTATATTTATTAAAATACGGGGTTGCCATTTTTTCACTGATAATCTGGCTGGTTGGGTGTGTGGCTTACATGATTGCCTTTTGCTTACTGACAAACTAGCAGAGCCTCTGATAAGTCAAGTGATTTCAAAACTAGGTAAAACTGGTGTGTTCAGTACTCTGACCAAGTTCTTGTAGATATTCCACACAAGGAGGGTTTGGTGCCAAATTTCCATATTGGAAGATACGTAACATTACACAGGGTTTTAATTTAATTTAACCTTGTAATACAGCAATCTCCTGAAATCATAGCACAAGCTTGACATAACAACTGCAACAGATAGTCAATCACATCATGGCACACCCGTTACCATTCCCTATATGCTCATCTTCACAATGCTGGAAGGAATGGGTTAAAAACCACAAGACTGTTGAGGAAGATTGTAAATCACTTAAGTGACCTTGCAGCCAGGAATAATTCTAGATAAGCATTGTATGAACTGCAATCCAGTGGTTCTTTAGCACTAACTGGTAATAGTACTTGCTTGGCTACTTCTGTATCTCTGCCTGTGTGTTGCTTTGGGGATCCCCAGGTTCACGAGGTAACAAATAAATTTACTCTTTGCCTTCTATCTGAGTGAGTTTGTGGTTGTTCTGGCTTCCTGCTTGTGTCAACTTGTGCACTGGGTATCTCCTGTTATCAGGAAGCAATATGTGGCTGGAAGCCAAGTCAAGCACCTTACTTTCTTAAAATTTATCTTCTAGTTCCTCAGTTTTGGTGTTCATCTGAACTGTGTAGATGCTTTCCCCATGCTGGTCTGTCTGACTGAGGAGCAGAATAATTTCCATTGATTGTTTTAGGGAAGGCCATTCACATGGCCAGTTGTCCCACTCTGTTGGTAAGCCATTTCTCTTAGAGATCTCCTCTGGTCCCCTTGGTGTTGAGGGAAGTTCAGCTAACTTTACAACAGTGATGGCCACTCACAACGTGAGTCTACATTTGGTGTCATTCCTGCAGGGCAAGCTTCCCTGAGCTTCCTGGGTACGTCTGTATTCACTGAGTCTTCTTCCATTGTGGGAGTTCATTGGTGGCTCACAACTGCAAAACAAGGGATAATGCAAATATAAGACTGACTCTCCAGTTGATAAAATAGTCTTTTTCTTCCTTAGTTAGCAGTTGTTCAATAGCAATGAAGATACTTAATAAAGATCCTTGGAAACAAGCTGGCTTTGATCCGCTAATGTGATACAGCTGTGGAAATAAGAGGATGAAAGCGACACTCTGGTTTGTGGAAGTTATGAGTTGGTGCCCTGCAGCAGAAAATGAGGCTGGCACTTTTCTGCTTTGAGCAGACCATCCTCTTCAGTAGGTGCCTGCTTTATGAACATGGTCACTGGTGCATGTGGAATGGTTTAGTTTACAGTCCTTAGCTGATGATTGGTCTCCTCCATCAAGGTGCCCATTGTCACATTCAGAGATGTTTGTGTGATCCCCCACAGTGTGCATATTAGTCAATAGGCAAAGTTGGTAACAAAGTTTTCTAGGTTCAGAGTATGTTGGATTTTGCAATCCAAGGTGTTAATTCTCCTCTGTATCTCTTTCTCCCAAGGTTTGGACATCTAAGCGTGGCCCACATCTTGTTGGAGAATGGTGCTGATCTCAATGCACAGAACAAGTTAGGGGCCAATGTTCTCACAATGGCCTCCAGAGGCGGTCATGTCAGCATGGTGAAACTGTTGCTGGAATCCGGAGCTTTTGTGGACAATTACGACCATTTTAGCACAAATGTACTTAACAGCAGCAGAGATGACCTTCCTGATATCACTCCGCTGATGGCAGCTGCTCAGCATGGACATGAGGCAGTGGTACATCTGTTGCTAGACTGGGGAGCTGATTGTAACTACACTCTAAAGACAATGGGCTGGAGTCCTTTAATGCTGGCAGCTGGCAGTGGAAAGGTGAGCTTGGCACAGCAGCTCATGGAGAAAGGTGCCAATCCTGATCACTTGAATGTACTACATAAAACACCTTTAGAAATCTCTGTTGGCTTCAAACACAAAGACATGAAGGACTATTTGGAATCTCTCACAACCATTAGGCCTCAAGCAGGTATGGAATGTTATGTTTTTGTTTCACTTCAGAAATTGAGGAGCTTATTTTGTATGGGCATGATGTTCTTTGTAGTTTGCAGCTGGATTTTGAAAATGCTGGAGTAGGCACACCTACTTCAGCTGAGGTACGAGTGCCCAACTTCAGCAGATTTTTTTCATGTTAGCAGGATAAGATGTCTGTATGTGGCTCTTTTGGGGACACTTTTCAAGGTATTTATGCAAACCAGCACTGGGAAGTGTAGAACAAGAGGTTCTACACTTTGGAAGAGCTGGATTTTCCAGCTTTGTACTGCTTGCTATAAAATATAAGGATTGGCTAGCTCTAGAAAGATCATTTTCCACTGCCATATGGACATGTCCAAAACCGTTGTCTACGTTTGGTGTCATTCCTGCAGGGCAAGCTTCCCTTGTACTTGAAGAAGTAAGAACAAAAATCAGACATCTGTTTCTGCTGTAGAGAAGGTGTTAACTCACATATAGGTTAAGTTGGAATTCTAGAGCTTTCATACAGCCATGCTGCCAGGCAGAACTGATTCGTTGTAGATGTTTGCTCACAACCAGTCTCTTGAGGAACAGACATCATTTGGTTACAGTACACAGAATAAGAAATCCATGGAATTCACTAGTGTCCATGTGTTTGCATGTACAGGATGTATGTGCAGGCAGAGTTGGGCTCATGAATCTTGAAAACCTTCTGTGGTCATACAACTTACAATATTGAAGGATTCTGTTTAAGTGATGAGACTGGACTTGCTTTAAAAAAGATTGATGTTTGCCACGTCTGCTGAGGGGGAATTTTCATCAGCAGGAGGGTAGTAACTCATTTGGGCAGAGAGTGGAGTATAAACATTATTCTTCCACATTTCTGCATTGTTTTTTGACCATACTTCAGTCTCCTCCTAGCGCTGGAATCTTGAATATCCTGTGAAGAAGAAAATAATTTCTGTTATATGAAAGATAGGAAAAAAGGAGCTTTTCTTCTGATCCATTGCCATAGATAGGGTGAATTGCCTCCTAGGAGAAAGGAGCTCCCTTACCACAGTTGTTCTCAGCAAATTCACTACCTGGAATGGCTTGAGTGTTACCTGCCTTCTGTCCCTGTCCTTACTAAAGCTTACCTAGATTGCAGTCTTTCCTTCTGGCATCTTCTCATGGTCTCCTGCTCCGTGAAGCTCCCTCTCTTCCAGGGTTTTCATATGGCAAGAATGGAGCCTGGTCCTTTCTAAATGAGTCTTTTGAAATCTGTTTTACAGTGGTGAGCTCATACACACAGCTCCTTCAATGAGCAGTTTATGAATCAGGAGAAAATGTAGGACCCATCACTCTCTAGGTCTTAAAATAAGAGTTTCTTGGAGTATTTTGGGCTTTTCAGCAATTGCTTTTGTTCAGCATATTAAGGTGACTTCCTTTGGAGTAAAGCTGTGACTTTTTCTGTATTTCATAAAAATGCCAGAATAGTGCTCATGAAATCTCTCAGCATCTCCTTGTTGTCCATAAAATTTTGTTACCCCATTGATTCTGTAGTAATAATTTGTCCATAATAATTTGGAAGATAGAGGACGGTATTTTCTGGCATGAGTGGAAGCTGAAAAATATGTCACTATTTTTTCCTCATCTTATATAGTGTCAGAAGCTTCAAAGCACTGTTAAATCATGTAAAAAGAATGATTCTTCACTCAAAATATTAAAATTTGTAATAATTACAGTTCTTATTGTGGGGATGGTCATCTGCGAGCTGAAGAATATTAATTCACAAGTAGCAAGCTGTGTAGTTAAATTGACACTATTATTTTTGTGACTTTTACAAATTAACCTGGAAATACTCAAGAGGAAGTAAAACTGGAGCAGCTTGTAAAACTCCTTTTGAGTCACCTTTCAAAATAATCCCATACAATTTGAGTTGTTCACTGTTCTACAGGGGATTTTACCAGACCAGAGCCATACTGTAATTTTTCAGTGGATATTTTAGACTTCCAGGCAGGAAAAAAATCAGTTTCCAAATACAATTTCTTGATGGAGAATGGAAATTGAAAATTTGTGCTGATGCTTTATTATAGTTTCTAGCTTTAGCTCTGCTCAGAGAACTATACTGGTGACTCATTCTTCCCAAAGGTAATACAGAAGTTGTCAATACTTTCTTTGTTCTTATTAAATATATACCTGAACATATGCTTTATAGTACTTTTAATATTAATAATTTTTTGTATAAAAATTCTACTAGAGATTTTTGCTTTTTTTGGATTGCTAATAGAAATGTTTATATTTCTTTCAGATGCAGAAAAGAGGCAACCTGATGTCTTTCATGCTTTGAAACTGGGTAAGTACTGCTGTAATTCTTCCACCCTGTCTAGTTTTTCTCACTTCAGAGCATGTCTGTTTGCTAGCACGGAAAACATGATTTTTCTGTTCCCACTCTTCAAATCTGAGCTATCAAAACATCTTCCTGGGAAAGCCTCAAGGCTGTTAGATTTTTAGAGTGATCATGTGCCCTTCTTGTACCCCTGTGATTTCTGAAATTTAGAGATGTTAATGCTGGGTCAGAAGAGGTATCATAGGAGGGGCCAAATGAGTACTGGTCAGCACACTGAGTTTTTTGGCTTTTTTTACTTGACTAGAGATGGCAGCACTGTTAAAAAAGTAGCTATTAGGTTAAGTGTCCAGCATTCAAAGTAAATTCTGGTGTCTCTGTAGGTTCCAGGCTTTCTGTTTCACAAAGTTTGTGCTCTGGGTCTGTGTTAAAAAAGCCATGTGCTGTCTTTTACCAAATGGGAACATACAAAAAGTAGTTCCGTGCTTTTCTGTCATTCCTGTTCCAAGAAATTAGCTGAGTGGCATTGGTGGGTGTGAGTTTCAGTAAGTGCATTCAAGTGGATGCAGGGTTTGGGATTCTGACTGACTTTCCAAGGAAAATGTTCATGCCTGTGATTGACTTGAAAGCAGCTTATGCCATGAAGCAGTTACCAATTGAAGGTTTCTTAAAGGTGAAAATGTTTCCATTTTGCATGGCAATTGATGATTTACGTGTTCTTGCCCCTGTTCCTGTGGTGGTACACACAGTCAGAGATTTTTATTTCCTTTATCTTCTTCCCTGCTTTTGTCTGCTATAGGATATTAAAAAAAAAAATACAGGACATAGGTGAGCTTAAGCTTTCAGTTTAAGGTAATCCTGACTACCTCATGTGTTTTTTAAAAGCGGTCTTACTTGAAGATTTAGAAAAAAACTCAACCTTGTTCAAATATGTTCAGTTACATATTTCATACTCCCTTTCATAATGTAGGCAAGAACTCAAGTGTCTACCAGCTCCTTTATGTGGAAACCTGAACATTAGATTAACTTTTAAAGAACTGTAAAGATGACTAATGATGACAAATGACTTTACTTTTGAGCGAGGAGTAGGAAAGTTTTGTATTGGAGATGTAGTTCGAATACTGGAGGCGGAAAGAAAAATCATTTGGAATATAAGAAAGTCAAGTGCTGGAATAAACTTCTTGGGAGCTTGTGGAATTCTATCAGTAAAGGTTTTTAGGATCAGTGAACTGTCTTTGTAAGAGGAACTTATTGGTCAGTGTGAGATGGGGCATTATTCTATCTGTTTAAGGCAAAGGATGACCTCCACAACCTTTTAGAGTGCCTTTGAACCCACCTACTTTGATTCTAAAATCATTGATTCTGTGATTAAGCCTGTGGAAATTGAACAGGGATCTTTGAAGGAAAAATCATGGTGCCTGAGCATCATCAATTTTCCTTGTATGACATCATCTTACAGCAATTTAATCAAAATATTCCCTATTTGTGTCTTCACATGCAGGATGTACTGCAGTTTATACAACCTTCCTTAGTCAATCATTTCAGAAAATAATTCTTGTAATGGTGTTGCACTGTAAGTGTACAGGTAGAGGAAATGAGGAAAATACAGTGCCTCATGTAATTTTATGTATGCTGGAAAGATGTACTAATTAACTAACATTTAGGTTATGTTTTATCACTGTTTTGCAGGAAACTTTCAGCTGGTTAAAGAGATCATTGATGAAGATCTGAGTCAGGTTAATATTACCAATGTTGATGGTGCATCTCCGTTAATGATTGCAGCTGTCACTGGACAGCTGCCCCTTGTTCAGCTCCTTGTTGAGAAGAAGGCTGATATTGATAAGCAGGATAATGTTCATGGCTGGACAGCACTAATGCAGGCCACATACCATGGGTAAGATATGTGCTCTCTTTGTGTCTAGCAGTAAAGAATTTTAATTTTTCTTACGTCCCAATAGAAAAAAATCCTTTTTGATACTGACTCTAGAAGCAGAGAGGTCAAGAAATCAAGAGACTTGTGCCCTCAGTTTCTTATAACTCTTGCACTGCCCTCAGCTTTCTGGAGAAGATCTGAATCACATTTTGATCACCACAATATAAGAAAGACATTAAACTATTATAGAATGTCCAAAGGAGGGCAACACAGTTGGTGGAGGGCCTTGAGGGGAAGCTGTGTGAGGAGTGGCCTGTTCAGCTTGGTGGAGAAGGGGAAGCTGTGTGGAGAGTGGCCTGTTCAGCTTGGTGGAGAAGAGTATGAAAGGAGACCTCATTGCAGTCTACAACTTCTCATAAGGGGAAGGAGGAGGGACAGGCACTGATCTCTTTGTGGTGATCAGTGGCAGGACCCAAGGAGATGGCCAGAAGTGTCAAGGTGAGGTTTAGGTTGGATATTAGAAAAAGGTTCTTCGCTCAGAAAATAGTGGGGCAGTGGAAAGAGCTCCCAGGGAAGTGGTCACAGCAAAAGCCTGACAGAGATCAAGGAGTGTTGGAACAAAGCACTCAGAGACATGGTATGACTCTTGGGGATAGTGCTGTGCAGGGCCAGAAGCTGGATTCAACAGTCCTTGTGTGTCCCTTCTAAGTCAGATGATTCTGTGATATTTGGACTTTAGAATGTGTAAAGCATTTGGGGAACCTGAAACAAGCTCAGTAAGTACTGGGAGTGTAGTGCTCCAGGCAGTCCCCAGGAGTCTTGGTGCAGATTTCAGCTTCCATCCTTTGATGTTTTTCAGTATTGTGAAAGATTCTATCAACCCTCCTGCCAGGGTTGTAAGCTTATGTGAAGTTGTGACACTTCAAGGCAATCCGCCTTCCATGTGTCACATTTTCCAGTCATAAAACAATTCCTATGTTCTCCTGTTCAGCCTTTAATTTTTATGGAGTTTTTGGAAGTGCAACTAAAATAATTGTCATTTTCTATAAAGGTCCTTTGTAAATCTAACTAGAAGCTTAAGAGTCAAACCTCAGAAATTGCCTGGTTGGTACTTCACGTGTGATATCCATCATGTACTTAACACTGCTTGAAACACAGGCTGTTCAGTTTAGGAAGGTGAACTTTTCTTCATCATTGGCAATAAGGCCCTCAGCAAGGTGAAGGTTCTCTTTAGTGGTAGTGTATTAATTGTCTAAATGCAGGTATTCTGCACCAGATTTTGTTTTTAGTCAACAGATCTCATTGGACTATATATGTGCAACAAAGAGAAAAAATAGCAGGTCAAGTTGTCATTGCTTTGTGAAACTTTTCTGAAGTAGTTCTTGGGACCTTTATTGATAGTAGTGACAGACATTCCACAGAAGTCCACTAAGATCAGATTTTTTGCTGCAGCTGTCAGCCAGCACACAGCTGGAATAGAAGCAGCCAGCACAAAGTGATGGGCAAGGTTGCTGGCATGTCCCCTTACTAGTACTCAGATACTTGTTTATGGAAGCACACACCAAGCTGAGTCCTGCATGTGTTCAGACACTGGCTGTTCAGTTTTCTGGATGACTGGGTTATGAAAATTCCTTTCCGTAATGTATCAGTCAATCTTCATAATATAAAACTTTGTTATTTAATTTTGTTAACTATGCTTAACATCTGAGGTAGTGGAATTTTAGGAGTCTTCGGTATTGTTCATGCCTAAGTAAAGCTAGCTATCTAATGGACACTGGCTTAGTAAAAATACCAGAAGGACACCCCAGTCTTGGAAATAAGGGTGTGACTTCTTGGGAAATTGGAGCTATACATGAAGGATAAAGGATACCCCTAACTCAAGATAATCCCAGCATCACAGCCATCTATGAAACTCTCTCAGCGTTATCTGGTATCATAGGTAAGTAATGACAACAAGACTGACTCCAGGGACATCTGGATCAATACAAGAGCAGCGTGAATGCTGCAGGAATACAGTTGCTGTGCTAAGTTTTACTATGATGAGCCAGCATAGTATAAGTTAAGGTAGTACACTTGAAGTGTACAAGAGCCCTGTGTGTAAAGCCACATTCACAGTGCCCCAGTGTGGGTGGAATACCTCATGTTCATAAATAAACACTTATCCTTGTAATTCTATATTTTGCATCTAAGCCTTTTTCTTAGCATGAAAAGTTGCAAATTTTCATAACATCTGGAAATCTTTAGGCGCCACAGAGCCTCAGCCTCAGGACCACCAATAGTGTGAAGGGTCTCAGGCTTGAAGGAGGGAGCAGGCAAGGTCTCTCTGAGCCACTAAAAAAATTGTCCCTGTGTGCTCTCAAGGTGCAGGACTGGAAAGCAGGATGGAGGGATGATAGTTTTAAAGAAGAGTAGGAAAGTAATAGGAAGTATCCAATAAGCAGAATTTTTGTTAGAAGAGAGGAGTAACAATTGTCCTCCATTTCAGGTTGATTTTGTGTGGGGTGAGTTCAGGAGTGGAAATGTCATCTGAAAAAGAAATGGTGCTCTGAAGTGGAGATGTTGAGATCCATTTTTCAGCTTCATTATTAGAATTTGCAGTTACCTGTTGGTGCTTGAGAATGTTTTTTCTCTGTGTTGCTGATGCATGTCAGAATTTGATTTTATACAAGGTCAGTCACTGTTTAAGAGTTTTAATATTAAATATATTTTCCCTAGCTTTGTTGTCTGTTCAGTTATTTCATAGGCTGAATTGAAGTATTGTTTTTAACTCACAAGGCAAATCCGCTTATTTAGTCAGGTGTATCGGAGGGGAAAGGGGCTAACTGGAACAGGATGGTGAGTGTCTTTTATGCAGAGGAGCTTTTTTATGAGGAGCTTTTGTTAGAGGTGTTTGTGTTTGACATTTAATGCTGATTGTTTTTGCATTTTAAACACCTCAGGGAAGTGATAATGTGCCTTCTTAATTATAAAATTCATAGCTGTAATTAGGTGAAGTACTGTTTGAAGTTTATAAGTTATCTTCAGTCAGTTTGGCTTTTCTGTATGCAATTTTTTAATGTACAAGTTGTGAAAATGAGGTTGCATTAAAGTATTAGTGATGGCATATGATGACTACTGAAATGCCCTTTGTCATTCCATCTTCTTTTCTGCCCTAGGCATTAATTTCATTGGAAAGGTGTTTAACAGCATATTGCAGTCACTTCCAAAGGATCAGCTTAGGAAGCTGAGTATTCAGATTAGGCATTTAAGCTGACTTTTTGCATGTTGATTAATGTAATTCATTCTGAGTAAATGTGACTGACAAAGGACTTGTGGGAGCTTTTGAAGAGCTTGTGAACAAATTTTACACTAAGTTAGGTGTAAGATGTGTAAAATTGATCTCTGATTGAGAAACAGTGTTATAAAAGGTCGCAAATGGAGTATTGGGGGTTTCTTTCTTCATTTACATGGTCTTTAATGTGATCAATGACTTTTTTTCTTCCCTTAAAGGAACAAAAATGTTGTAAAGTATTTGTTAAATCAAGGAGCTGATGTTAACCTTCGTGCAAAAAATGGATACACAGCTTTTGACCTGATAATGCTGCTGAATGATCCAGGTACGCTATTTCAAAATGCTGTGGAGAAATGTACAATATAAACAAATGCACATTCCTTCCAATCTAGAAAATATATCACAGTTGCTAGGATGTATCCTCTCATGTCTAGGCCAGACTGGAACAAGAAAAGACACTGTCTGAAAGTGGTGGGGCTTAATTGGTCAGATGAGTGTATACATTTATGGGATAGCAGATTTTGTGCGTTCCTCTTGCCTTTGGTTCTGAAGGTGATTGAAAACTGGTGTTTGTGTCACTAGAGCCAGCTGAGTGGCATTGGATTGTGGGGGTACTAATATTCTGTAGTGTCATTAGCACAGAGCTATGAGCTGGAGCTAGAAATTGCCCCTTTGAAAAGAGCAGCAAAGAGACAGGACAAAGAGAGCACAGTAGGAACAGAGCTAGGGAACTTCTGGCTGAACCCCCAGCCTAACCTGTAAAGGCTAAGAATAAATCATACCTCATGGTTCAGGTTGTTTGTGTGGGAGTGCTGTAGGACAAGGCAGCATGCTTTGGGGAGGCTTGAATGAAACACATTTAGGTTTTATTGCAATTTGTTTTACATATATAATTTGTTGTTGTTAACCTTCCTTGGTACCTGAATTGATTTATAGGAAGCCAAAACCCACTACTGCTAATGAAGTCTCTGAATTTACACGTTATTGTGGTCTTGGTTACTAGCAGATTGTTTTCTGTGTCAAAAGTAGATCACTAATTGTACAATATTTTAGACAATAAATACAGACAAATATTTTAGAAGTAGCTTCTGTGACAGAATAGTTTGTCTTGCTACTTCTTTCTCTCTCGTTCAGTTCTCTCTGCCTTTCTGAAAATCCTGCCATGTACAAAATGTAGATATACAGATTTTTTAGTTTTGCTTTCCTGTCTCCTGTCATGCTTGTTCTTTTTTCATCCTCTTAGTTTTTTCTTACTTCTTTTTTGTCCATCTTTTTCTTACCATTTCTTTTCAGTCCCTTCATTGTCCAGGCTGAACATCTTCTTTCTCTTTGGGATTTACTTTCGAACTTCTTTTCTGGAACCTGTGCTTGAAGAAAGAATATTAATTTTTCTCTGCTGTCTTCTGTGCCAGGTGAGAAAAGGGAACATATCAGTATTGTTCTTTTCTTGTACAAAGTGCGAGAGGAGGCAGTACACTTGGTCACACATGACGGATTCCAGTAGCATGCTTATTTATATTGTAAAATACTTTTAGAGAGAGGATAAGACTGCAGCCCAAGTTGTGGGGGGAAGACATGGGAAAATAGGTCAAGAAAGAAAGAAGGTTTGGGGGTTCATCTACTTTGTGTTTGAGAGGTAGATCAATTGCTATGTATATGGGATTTACAGGGAAAATGTCAGTGCATCAGTTGTAATTTGGGAAAGCAAAACGGGCCAAACATTATCTTAATTTGCTTCCTTTTAGATACAGAGCTTGTAAGGTTACTGGCATCAGCATGCATGCAAGTAGATAAAGATAAGAATAAACTGAACAACAGATCATCTCTGCCTTGTTCCAGAAGTAAGCAATCCTTAAATGTCCCAATGTTGCCAGATGACAAAGGAGGCCTAAAGGTAAATATATTCATTTTTGATAAAAGCTCATTAATTCCTGTAATGTATAAGCAGAAAAAACAATTGCTAAGAATTGTTTTGGATCTAATATGTAACTGGGTTTGTTGGGGAGCTGTGTGTGTTTCTGAATTCCTTGTTGACAGTGTGTTCTGGTTTTGTGAGGCGTAGCATGTATTCAACTTCCTTTTGTCAGGTGGCAAAGCAGTGGGAAGAGTTTGCATTGAAGCATTTCAGTGCTTAGAAATAGATCTCATGATTAAGTGGAAGGTACTGTGTTCATAAATTTGGAACTCAGTTTCCATTATGATCTTGCTTTTAAATCTGGACAGAGGGTAGATTCTTTCACAGCCATAAATGGTAGCAGGCTGTTGATATTGAAAATGAAAAAGATCATAGCAGAGATTTTCATATGAAGAATTGTGGAGGAGTGTGCACTTCAGGCTTACATGTCATCTGGCATGCTGTATCCTTAACTCAGAACTGATGGTGGTCCGGTAGGAAACAACATGGAGTTAGAATAAATGTATGCCAACTAAACAAAGATATCACAACTTTCACTGACTGTTTGCAAAAGAGAAGGAAAAAGAGTTAGTTTTGTTGTTGTTGCCTATTTCCAGGCATCAGTTTATTAAGGTGAATAATCTTTAATTAAGGTGTATGTATGGTGTACCTCAGAATTTCCTGGAGTCCATGATGTTGTCCCTTAAGTATGAATATTACCAGGATCTTGAAAAAAGTCATGTGAATTTTCAGGCTATTTTTGACATGAATATTAAAGACATGAATAATAAATATATGCTTCAGCTCAAATCTGTTTTGCAGTTTTAACTATGAAGGAACATGTGGTTGTTTTCATATGATTATGCTATTATTCAATATGATACAACTTTGTTACCAATTTAAATGGACCTATTTTATTTAGATGGGAAATTGTCAGAATAGCTTTTGGGCTTTATGGAATACAGATGAACAATGGATTGGATTGCAGCCCTTGCAGTGTTATGACAAAAAGGCTTGAATTATGGTCATAAAAGATTGTTAGGTAAAAGAAAAAGATTTGTCAGTGATAAGGATATAGACTCAATTATTGACACAAATTTAATATTCTGGAATATTTAAGTATTTGGCCTCAAAACTACAGAATATTACAGTGCTTGCTAGTTATAATAAAACTTTTTTTTTTCAGCAGAAATTGTATTTTGTATAGTTCTATTATAAAAAATAACCTGTAAGCCTATGTAATCCATTCTTCCATCACTTCTTAATGTCTGACTATGAGTATCTTATTTATCTTACTCTTCTTACAAATGCTCAAAAAGGGTAAAAATGATATTTTCAGATATTCTGGCTGGAGGGCAATGTCATAACAGTCACATCTCTTTGGGCCAGCATGTGAAGAGAGGACTGTGGTGAGGGGACCTCTCCTGGGATTAGTAGCAACAGTGTTTCTGTGTGGACAACTGCTCTGTGGTGAGCTGGAACTGTAAACAAAAGACACTTATGGGAACTTGGCCAGCACAGCATTTTTTTTGTCTAAATCAGTACAAATGACTCAGTGTGGGGTCTGCAGGATCATGGAAATGTAAAAGTGAGAGGGAATTCATAAGGCTCACTTGCCTTAACATCAGGAGACAGAAAAAATATGCCAAGAACATCTTTGACAGATGTTCAGTTCATTCTTCTTTCACGTGGTGAAGAAGAGCCCCTGATCCCATGTTTCTCCATCAGCACCCAATTCCACTGCTTGATGCTTTTTTTCACCCTGAATTTTTTTATTTTGTTGCCCATTAAATTGATTGAGTCTTGTTCAGTGATCATCTTCATTTTTATAAGAACTGTATAAATACTTAGAAAACTATCATATTCAGTTTTTTTTTCTAGTCTAAACTGATTAATCCAAATTTCCTTGACTGTATGTTTTGATTCCTAAACTTTTGACTATTTCTAGTTTGTATGTTACCTGTCAAGATGAGAATTCTAAAATGAGTGGTGAGATTCTGACTAGGGTCACAGTATCACTTAGTCACATACAAAAACTATGTCACAGTTGTGTTTCCTGTTACCAGTGAAATTCACTTTTTTTTTTTCCAGCAGCGGTAACAGTGTGCATCTGTACTTAGTTTCTGCTATGTTGTGACTCATTTTTTTTTTCTTTAGTACACCTGCTTTGTTCCTTGCTTTTTTTCCTACATTAGTACACTTGATTTTTTCTCGCATGCCAGCTTGACCTCTACTGGAAAATGTCAGTTTGGCAGTGTTTAAATTTAGAGTGTTAAAGGTACTTACAAAACTGTCTAGATGGATGTCTTCCATAGACTGCAGAAAAATATGTTGTATTTTATTGTTGCAGCTGTTAGTGAACATCCCCAAACCTATTGCACAAAGTATGTTCTCCCAATTTGAGATCAAATGATTCACAATTTGTCTTTCTTTGGCTATGGTCTTTTCCCTTTATTAATTTTACTTGAACCATATTTTTCTCAATTGTTTACTGAATGCTACATGAAATAGCAATAAAAGCTTTAATAAACTCAAGCTGCATTCCAACTTTTCCTCCCTTTTGCTCACTTGACTGGTAACTGTCGAAAAGAGATTCATTTGGTAGAGTTTATTTTCAACAAACCTATGCTGGCTGTGTCTTATGAGCTGTGACAAAGTTTTTTTATGCCTTTTCGTGGTAAGCATTTTGATCAGTAAATTTTCAGATTTTCCCTTTTCAGTGATTGTATATTTACCTTTTGCCTGATTTCTGTAATTTCTTCCATACTTTTTAGTGAAGATAATAAATATTTATTCAGAGATCATGTTGCCTATAATTGACCTGGGGTAATTTTAATCAATATTGTCTGGTTCTAATTTGTGTAAGCTCATTTAAATACCCTAGCTTTCTTAAGCAAATGCACATATATTCCTGCCTTCTTCCTGTTAATGGTACTCATACTAAAATACATGATTAAAATAGGCTGCTTATGAAGTTTTAAAAAAAATAAATGCTCTTCAGTCTCACCTCTTCTGTGATCACTTTTGTCATTAACTAATAGACTTTTTATTTTGTGATGTGTTTATTTTACTTTTAATTTGTGCGCATTATTGGCCCATTCCTTTACCTGCTGATAACCTGATTCTTGACTTCTACCACAAAAGAACTGTTAACTGATTTGTTTCTTACCATTTTATGGCCTCTGTGAATCAACACAGGTGGGTAACTAAGTCAACCACGAAGCCACAGCCGAAATGCAAGATTTATTTTGTTGCCTCAACGACAAGGCTGAGTGCCAGAGACACACAGGGATCCAGTCTCCAGTAGGCTTAGTTCATCCATAACTAAAGGCTTTGGGTGTGGCTGTGAGAGTGTGTTACCTCTACACAGGAATTCTACTTCTCCCATCAAGCAGATGATGAACAACACTAGGCATAATAAATGAAGTTTTGCACACCTACATTTTTAGCATTCCCAGCTGAAAGGTCACTTTGAGCAGGAGTCCTTCTCTCCTCCTATTTGATTTTACCCCTTTCCTCCCAACACCCTCAAAACCAAAGTTGTCCCTTTTCCATATGCAAAAAGTTTATTTCCGTTTTTTTTCTTCCTGCCTGTTCTTCTTCAGCAAGTTACACTCTCAATGTCAGTATTAGAGCAGTGTGAATTACCACATTCAGTTTTCTATTTTAGATCAAACTTTTTGAGGGCAGAGATTTCCAGTTCTCCCCCTTACTCTTTTGTTCCTAGCATTGCTACAAATGTCTAAATTGTAGACATTTCTGAAATGGCAACACCACTTTTCTAGTTCTTTGATACTGTTACCTTCTCCCACTGCTGCTAGATTTCAGCCTTTTTATAGACACTACTTTTGAGGAGAAATGAATTTTTGTTACTTGAATGCCTCAGTCTATTTAAAGCCCTTTATTACAGCTTCTGTACATGTGTGATGTGGTAGGGGTATATGGAGAAGCTGAAAACTCCTACAACACCAAACTAAACTCCAGAGATCAGACCATCATACTGTGAACATCAGAAGACAAGATGAACCTCTCCAGTGTCATTACTTTCTTGTCAGAGGGCAGTGGTTTTTTGTCTGGTAACATAGTGGCTGTATTTACTCCATTTTGGGGTAGTTTGTGGTGTGAGTGTATATTCAGGGAGCAGAAGCACTGTGAGTAGGAGTAACAGAGATGATGGGCAATTAGAAATGATCCTTCTTACAGAAGCAAGGTAGCTTCAGTGACCAAAACCAAGAAGTGCAAGTACTCTCTTTTGTCAGCTCATTGTACTCTGTGTTAAAACTAGATGAACTTCCAGTTCCTTTTGGAAGGTGAATAAATGCTGAACTGTGGGTTTTATTGCTTTCTCAGAGCTATTTGTATCTCTTGCCTTTTTTCATCAGATCTTTGTTGCTGAAAATAATGGAATCTTTATTAGTTGTGACTCCAAAGAGGTACAGGGGTCTGAGAACTCTATACATTATTAACATTCTGTGCAGATCTGAAATGTTTTTAATAGCCTTATACTATAAGGATTAATATGTAGAGGAAAAGTATAAGAAAGTCACAAAAACATATCAGTGAGTAGTTGAAAAATATTAAATGCCAAGAAGAAGGAAGAGTATGTATTGTGAGAAGGGGTTGTTACCTGGATTTGCTATCAACTAAAGCTACCCTGATGAAGTTGTAATGTTCTTTTGTAATATTACTTTAACATTAGTTTTTTTAAAAAGTATTCCAGAAAGGGAAGGAGAAACTTTACTACAAAATAATCAGAAGGTACTTACAATCTGATTTACCTAGAAGCTACATAATTTTTGGTGCAAATGGCATAGGTTATGTATAATCTAGAGAAATATCTTGCTGAAGACTTGAAGCAACTTGGACTATCTGCCTGTAAAAATGTGCAAGTCTGTGAATATTTGAATAAATTTTACATTGAGCAAAGTCCTTTTGCATAACAGTTCCCACGTATGTGATATCTGTATGGATGGAGGTTATAGGTACATAGTCCTAAGGTTTATGCTGTTTTCACAGCTGCTGTTTCCTTGCCTTGCTCTTTTTCAGTTTATCATCTTCCCAGTCTGGTTAAATTATCTTTATAGCAGCACTGTATGGATTGTTGATCTTTAGTTTGACAGAAATACTATCAGAACTCTTCCAGTTTGCCACTGATTTTGAAAATCTTGGTGCGAAGCTTTGATACACATTACATAAACTCATATGCACACCTCTAAAAAGCAGAAACTAGAGATGCCACTCATTGATTCCAGAGAGAGTAAAAATCAATGGTGAAATTGGAAGTTAATGGGAAAATTAAATATTTTCTATGTAGCTGCAAAAATTCCCTATTCAAATTGCCCTAATACTTCTGTCTACTTTGGCCTTCCAGATACTGTGGAAAAACATTTTAAAATATTTTCCAGGTGAAAAATAATTATTACACATGCAAATTACACTGAAGGATTCTGTTGGTAATTGCAAACCACTTGAACATTGCTTTTTAGCTTATTTCAAAAACTCCTTGGTAAGGGTTGCTTAATTATGCATCTCTTTTCCTCTTTTTTTTCTTTTAGTTGGAACTAAATTGTTGTGTCTTCTTATCAATCTAGTCCTGGTGGAGCAGGATGTCCAATCGATTCCGCAAGCTGAAGTTGACTCAGACATTGCGCCATGGATTTCCTTCTAATCAGTTTGTGCCTTTTCCGGATGAGGCTGAACCATCATTAAATTGCACTATAAAAGTAACCTCACAGAGTGATACAGACATCTCTGGAAACCTTGATGCTGCTACAGCTTGGAACACAAATAACAAAGCTAGTGGTAAAGGCAAAATTGTCTTGTGGGAAATTAACTCTTGTGGGGTAGTCAGATACTATTTCTGATTTATTGGTTTAGTTCTACTTTAGCTTAATATAAATGAAAAAAATATAATGTATTTGTAGTCTGTAGAAAGAGAGATGTTCATACTTGTTGATCATGCTGAGTGCAGTAGCATTTAAGCAGGAAAATACTAATATAACCATGTTACTGTTCTTTAATAAATGCCATTAATGCAATTAAGACAAGTCACAGGTCTTAATGCAATTAAGACAGGTCACTGAAAAGTGTTAGTATCTTCCATAAACTAATTTATGTAAGGAAGACCAATTTATTTAAGCAAATAAATAAATAATTCTGAAAAGAAAGAAATTGGAAGAGCCCAGTTTGTAAAGCACATCTACTGAAATTGTGCAGCTCTCCATGAAAATCTGCCACTGTGTGCAATGCAAAGTTCTTGGCTTAACTTTAGCTGAGGTGCATGAGAGTGTTGCTGGAAATCTTCCTACTGAGGGTAAAGCTGTTGATTGTTTAAAATCAATGAGCTAGACTTAGAAATAGAAGTAGAAACATGTAAACAACAGAACATAATTTATGTATTTTTCAGGTGCAAACACTGTGAAAGAAGAAAAGGACGATGAATTATTGACAACTATGGTATGTTGCAGTGTTCTTGGTGTTTCAGCCTAATTCAGAGGGTCATGTAGCTCCCATAGCTTTTACAGTTTTTTGCCTCCTGTCCAAATTACGTCTAGAAAAAGAGCTTGTTTGTAGTCACTAGACATGAACTGGTAGGCTTTGATATATCAGTAGTTCTTAGACTAGAAAGTACTAAAAGTAGTGTGATATGGAAGCTGTACTGACCTCTTTCAACAGTTATCCATACCTTTGTTTGACCAGCAATGAAATAGTAAAATAGATAGAACAGCTGCTTAGATGCTGACAAGCTCTATGAAGTGAGGAAAACATGAATAGAACCATGGTACAGTGGAGGTGTGAAATTACTGGTAGAAGCAACCATGAAAGATTTAGTTTGGGAGGTGTGTTTGTGTTATTCTATTTCTTCTTTTGTTATGCTGTAGCTTTATATTCCCCTTGACTTTACCGTCTGGTGATGTCATTTAATTTGGCTGGTTATTATCTTCATGTTCTTTTGTAAGGAGTTTGAGTTCTTTTTTAAGAACTTTTGATATTACTGACTGATGGAACTCCAGGAAACAAAATCAGTTGTGTTTTTATTTCTTTCTGCAGTACACATGCATCAGGAACATGCAGTTGTTCACTGTTTTTAGTCATCCTGTCTGGGAATACAGAGAGGACTACATTGTTATTTCTTTGGAAATTGGTTGTTATTCTTGTGAAAGTCAACCTGAGCAATATTTAGCCCAGTAGAGGAAGAGACAGTTTCTGCCACATAATGAGCTATATTCATTGTATCAAATGAATAAGCATAATACTGAGGGGTGCCACAATGTTCATTGATTTTTCGCTTGTTATTATGTGTGTACTTCTCCTCAAATAGTACTTTTGTGTCTCATTTCTGTTTGTTTAAGTGTGTTTTCATCCTTTTCCTTAACTTAATATTTTGAAACTACATCACCAGGTCCCAGTAACCTTTCTTAAGAAGTGACTCTTCCCCACCTCCCCCTCTCTCTGTTCCCCTTTCTCAGCTGAGGAGTAGTGCTCCATTTACCAGGCTGCCCAGTGATAAGCTGAAAGCAGTGATACCACCTTTCTTACCACCCTCAAGCTTTGAGCTCTGGAATTCTGACCGAACCCGACTCAGCAAAGATGGCAAAGCTGAACAGATGAGAACTGCCTGGCCACAGAGAGCAATCAAGCATGATTTTAACAGCAGTGGGAACTCTGATATAGTAAGGAAACTAAATGTGTACGAAAATACTGTATTATGCCCTGGCCCTGGTGACTGGTGAGCCACTCTGTTTCTGATTAGAAATTACTTTTAACCCACTGTTTCAGCAATGGCTTATCCTTTTAAGCAGTGCTGCTTAGGAAGAATGCACATCTATATGGAAGGAACATAATGAAACAAAAGTTCTGTATGAAGTGAAACAACTCTTTCTTAATTTGGTTTGGTTTTGGGCGTTTATTGATTTTGTTTGGTTGGAGGGTTTGTTTGGTTTGTTGTGGTTTTGTTTTTTTTTTTTTTTTTTTTTTTTTTTAACCAGAACCACCAACAGTGTGGTAGAAACTTCTCTGATATGAAAAAAGGACCAGAGACAGTAAAAAAGAATAACAATTGCTCAGTTTTTAGGAACTGAGGAGGAGGGAAGAAATATCAGTAAGATCAATATACAGACATAATATTCTAAAAGATTAGTAATAGATAAAATTGTAGCAAGTAGTGATCAAGTGGACTTGAAGGCACACAGCTTTAAATTTTAAAGTACTGTAAAACTAAGAAATCAAAATCAAGAAAAAGTCTTGATTATTTCTATTATTTATAGAAGGAGCTTGCCTGATTCTACAATGTTTTCAGTGAAGATGCAAGCTAAGAAAAAAATAGGTGGTTTGTCTTGAGATAGGAAATGAAACAACCTTGACAGCCTTCTCTTTCATAGTTCTAGAAAAAGGAGAAGTGCTTATTCCCCTAACTGTAGACTATAATAGCTAGATGTAGAGAAGACCAGTCCATAACTGTGTTTCAATGTCAGTTCTAGACATGGGACAATGAAGACATTTAGGAGGAATTTTTTTATCTTTCCTTTTTTTGTGTGGACACTAGCTTAATACCAATAGAGGTGATTTAGGTGGAATAAGACAGACTAAGGAAAGTGACCTAGCAGGAAGGTTATTGTTTATAATCCCAAAAAAGATGGTTGTAATAACATAACTGCATGTGAATAAAATGAGGAGCAGGGAAAGTAGGGGAGGACTAGCCATCAGTTCTTCTGTTAGGAAAGAAGGGTCTTGCTGAGGGTATAGAAGGAGGGAAACAAGTCAGAGATGGAAGAAGTTATTTGAGCAACAGATATAAGAAACATTAAAAAGCTGAGCTGCAAAAGTTCATATGTCAGCTGGCTGGCAGTGGCCAATGGTGTAAAAGCAAAAGAAATTAAGTAGGATGTGGCTGAGGATTTGGGTAGTGTATAGCTAGATCAGTAGTGCCTCACTTAATAAAACTCAGTAAAGTGGTGCAGCTGGCTACATAAAAATGCAACTGGTGGAGAGAAAGTTTATATCACTTCTAGCAGCTTAGTTTGTAAGAAACCAAGATATGATGGATGGGAAGGTGGTAGGTGTTTTGTAAGATGGGAGAGACAAAGCCAGGATTCTGCAGAAAAGAAATTGCATATGGGATAATTTTTTTTCTTCCCCACTGCTCATAATACTATGTATATCATGTCTTAGGTGCATCATATATGCTCATTTTTGTTGGCCAAAGATTAAGAAGAAATAATGGCTTAATGTGGTGTAATTTATCTCATTGAATAAATGTATTCAGTATATATATATATTTATTTATATATATATATATATATATAAGAGGTGTAGTATAACAAGTGTGTATTCAATATATATGTATATGTAGAATGAGATTCTTTCTGATATCCCCTTGTTCTTCAGTGGAAGTTTCAGAACTTAGGGTAAATAAAATAGCAGTTGAAGTTTGCTCTTTATTTTTCTCAATCAAGAAAGAACAAATTATTTTTCATTTTGTTTTCCAGACATCTGTTAGCAAAGGTACTAGAACAGTCAAATTACCAACATTTGCAAGAAGACCAGCATCTCCTTCAAATTCCAATAACTTCAGTCATTCTCCCCATTCTTCTGGTGGATCTAATAACATTGCAGGAATTAACAGGCATGGAGGAGAACTGCATAACAGATCAGGTGCCTTTTTTAATAAAAAAGTAATTTGTATCTGATTCAGTTAAAAATTTAGTGTTTGTGATGATGGTATAAGATACTAAACCTTTTCTGAGCACTCCTACTATTGTAGAAACAAAGAACAAAGCTTATGTGAATTTAGTGGACATGGGATTTGACTTCAAACACCTACATAAGGGAGGAAGAGCATCACATCCGTTACAGAAGTCTCAATGGTCAGCCCATCTCATGCAGATTTTACTGGATCCACCCATGGTGAATCAGGTGGATGCTGGCTCATTGCACCATGCATGTTATAGAGCTGACTCCTATGCCTATTGCTTACTTTTTGTTTGAAATAAAAAATAGTTTTCAATTAAATCAAAGCTGCACACATTGTACCTGGTAGTTGTTGAAGACAATATGGTGAAGTGGCTTATGAAAACTATGTCCAAGGGTATGAAAGTCAGCTCTGTGTGTGGATAGACAGGGCTGGCTACCCTCTTCTGCTACTGATTTCTGTTCTTTATTCTGGAAGCTGCTGGAGAGATCTGAACCTTGCAGTTGTCTCATGCTTCATCCAGTCGGTTTTTAAATGAAAGTGATTGTTTGAGAGTTGACAAACATTTCAAAATTATGGTTTCCTTTACTGGGTTTATTTTATTCTTTGTTCTAGGTGGCAGTGCAGATAATGTTTTGTCTCAGATTGCAGCCCAAAGAAGAAAAGCAGCAGGTTTACCTGAACAGAAACCCAGCCAACAGCATAGTCCAGTCCAGTCAACTCCTTCATCTGCTGTGTCAGACTTGCAGTGTGCTCAGATTGTTGGCAATGGACAAGTTGTAAAGGTAATGGGAAATGTAAAATTTTGCACCTCAAATTGTCTAATAGGTCATATCTCAGTCATGGCTGGCTGATGCACAATTGCACAGCCAGAAAAGAATGAACCTTTGTTAGTGGAAGCTTTTCCACTCTACAAATCTTACTTTTAAGTGCAAGTTCACAGAAGATGAAGCCTAATAAGAAAACATTACTTTATTATTAATTTCACTCTATTTTAAAACACAGTAAATGTAATGCTTGATTTTAGGGTAGATCTACACTATTGCGGTTTCTCATTATTTCTTTCTATGGACCAGATAAAGTGTTTTGTTAGTTATTCCTGGATTTTGCCCTGAAGTGGTATAGTTAGTTTCTCTAGCTAGTTTCCCTTCAAAGGCTCAACCTGAATGCAGAGTATGACATAATTTGTACCAGGATATGGTGACCACAACAATATGCACATAACCAGTCTGCTCCACTGGTGTTATTTTTAAACAGTAGGTCATGACCAAAGTTCGGGATTGCTCTTGAGGCCATACTGTTTGTGCTGACTTACCTATAAATTCCTTGGAATAGCTTTGCTCTCTCAACCTGCACGTTTTTGGGCACGTACTTTGAAGTTCTTAACTGCTTTGTACAACATTTTTGATGGTTAAGGTTTTAAATCTTCAAGATCTGCAGAGACACAAACTAGAAAGCAGCATCATAACAGAAGATGCGACATGCTATTGAGAAATTGATGGGTTTATTTACATAGGGAAACGTTGCATTTCAGAGAGCAAGAGAAAGAAAACATGAAATTTGGGGTTTATGTTCTAACGCCTAATGGTATTTGGAAATGTTAGAATATATGAACAAGAGCAAAATTTCTCCAACTTTTGCTTATGTAATCTCCAAGCAGCTCGTTTTGTTTTGTTTTGTTTGCATCTTTCGGTGAAATTTTTCAAATCTTGCCTGAGGAAATAAAAGTGACCAGAGTATAAAATTAATACTTTTGCAATCTCATTCTGTGATGTCATGTATGGCAACAGTACACAATATTTGTATTTAATCAGTACATAAAAATGGTAAATGAAATTTCAAAATTGTTCATAAATTACATGGAAATTTCTGGAGGACAAAAAAATCAGAAATAGGTGCAACTACCAATGCTGAAACAGTTTCCATGAATAGTCACTTTGTCTTTGATCTGTCAGTCCTGATTCTGGAGGGGCTACTGGCTGCCTATCAAAGATGAGATTGGGAGCTAAAATTTCTAACTCAGCTGGAGTATCAGAGTCTGAGGATTCATACCAATTCTTTGGCATATGGTAATCTTTCCTCCCTTTCTATCCTGTGTAACTGCTCCCTGAGTTATAAATGATCCATCTCTTTTTCCTGTAGACAAAACCCCTTTATCATCCTCTTCCCTCATTAAAGTCTTCTCTGCAGAGCAGCTACCAAATGCTTTTTCCTCCAGAGGTCTGACCAGTATGTTTTAATTAAACTCTCAGCATGTCCTCTCAGCTTGTTTTTAACTTGGAAATAATTTCAGAAGAGCTCTTTGTGTGCCCCCCAAAAGTCTCATTTTTCTCCAGTTATATTAATCATCCCACCAAAAGATAATACCTTTGTCTGTGAGCTTTGGCTGCAGATACAGTGGTCTTCTGTTGCAACAATGCTGCCACTAAGAAGTTAACCAGCTGTTTCCACTCACATTAGGGGATAAAAAAGTAGTGAAATGCAGTGTGCTGCAGATCATCTTCTGGAAAGGCTGTTCATTGTACTGTTGAAAAGACTCTTAACATTTATACCACTGTTTTGGAAATGCTTGGAGCTTTTTCATGTGCTCTTTGCTTAGATGTCTAGACGAGTTTCATTCTATCCACTAGTAACAAAGCATGTCATAGTGTGGATCTCACTATAGATGCTCAATTATCACACAACTGAGGTGATTTTCGGAGATTTCTGGTGGGAGAACACAATTAAATATGGATCCATACTGGCTGCAAAAGCTGGCAGTGTGTTATTGTAATCAGCAATGTAAATGGTGGAAATTTAATGTCTATATCCACTGAGGAATAGCCTGTGTCCTCCCATTAGGATCATGCTGTCTAAACTTGGAAAGAGCTGATCTAAAAATGCAGTGATATTACACCGATCAATTTTGCAAAACTTACCCATGAGGGGTGAAATTGTGCAAGCTTCAAAGAAAGGAAAATAAAAAAATTAATAACATTTTACAGGACGATGTAATTTAAATAAATGTAGACATTGTGCTAGGGAGGGAAGATTATTCTGCAACACAAATGGCCAATAACAATTTCAACTGAAATTTGGGACAGAAAGTTGAAATGAGTTCATGAAGTTCACGATGCTCTTCAAGGAGCTCTCAAGTTTGTATCATACTACATTACTTCCAGTCAATTCAGTGCAGGTCTAAGGAAGTATTACATTCTGACATAGGCTAGAGTAATGGAAGAATGTTACCACTCAAATGAGTTTTATCTTTTAAATCTGCATCTTTTTCATTAACTAGAAATGCTCCATTTATGCCACAGCAAAGAAGCAAAATTGTAAAGACAGGAACCACTGTCATTCTCATTTCTTACATTGTTACCTAGATCGAATTTTTATCAGTTTGTTGTAGTAGCCTGAGTGACAAAAGGTATTTAAACTCTGAATTCAGGAATCCAGTAAAAAGTCACCTTCTTTTTGGGTCATACAGTGTAGACAACAAAATGTATATATAGATCAAAGAATTTAGGAGATGAAGTGCATTGATGGTTTTGGGAAAAGACTATTGATATGTGTATGTATATATATTATTACTACCCATTTTAACTCATGTATTTTCCTGTTTTCCATGGCTACAAAAGTATTAAATATATGCTAAATTCTTAATAAATCACTTGACTCCTGTCAGGTAATAATAAATTTGAGGATTAGCTGGAAACTTCCATTCCAGTGCAGCAAGGGGTTTAATGTGCCCAGAACTTTATTTGTGCTTGCTACATGTTCTGGTTAATCCAGCATGAAGTGCTACTTTAAATTAGCATCTCATATGTTTTGAAAATCTTTAATTGAGACTTAAGTCTCTGAATGAAAATCCCTGTTTTCAAGTCAAAGTAATTTACTTTTTTTCTGTTATTAAACTATTTTTATTTCTAATGCAAGTTTTACTTCTGCTTCTGCACATTCCAAGGGAAGTGGGGAGGTGAGTGAGAGACTGTGTTGAGCATAGGTGCCACCTGTACTTAAACTATGATAGTCATTTTAGAAAAAGAAAAGTTGTAGTGTTTGTGGGCAGTTTTCGTTTACAAGAAATAATTTTTCTTACAAAATTATAGCTTTAGTAAATGTATTTTTCTTGATAATTTTGAGATGAGAGACTTCAATCTGGGATAAAATCACTATTGCTTCTATTATTTCAATATAGGTCAAACAGAAACTTGTGACTACATGCTCTCAGAAATGGTACACAAGTAATATTGAAGCATCACATATACGTAAACATTTTTGAATTATTTTTGAACTCAAATGATTGTATCATTAACTGCAGCAAAAACTGGACATGAACAAAAGACCTCCATCTGGGACTTCATCTACATCTAAAAGCACATCACCAACTCTCACACCTTCTCCATCACCTTCCCCATCTCCTAAGGTTCAAAATGCAGAGTCTTCTGTCTCTTCTTCTCACAGACACGCCAAGAGCAACGGCTCCAGCAGTGGTACTATTACAGAGGATGGTGAGTAGCTCACTGTAATTACTTGAGATCCATTCATCCAGAATACTATGTTTTTAAAGCTATAACTATACTGGACTAGTGTGTATCTGCATGAGAGTACGGTTTCTCTTCTTTCTAGAATATATGATGGTGTTTCGTACAGTGAGATTGGTGTTCCTGCACAAACTTCCTTTTTCTCTCCCAAAACCCATTTAGAGAGACACTGGTATCACCTCAAAGCTAGCATAAAATATTTATGTTGCCCACTCTTACGTGGCCACATTTTCCCTCTTCATGGCTTAAGTCTTGTTTTTCACCCTTTGCTGAGGGTACAAAATGCACTTGGCCAATACTATTTTTTTTCCTTAGTAAATGCAAAGAAGCACATCACTACAGAGATATATTTTTCATCCATAGCAAGTCATAGCTACATGAAGTTAAGAGCTGTAGTGCATTTATTTTTCTGAATCATGAAAATAACCTTATTACAACCTCTTTTTAACTTAAAGTCCTAAGAAAGACTGCTGATGTTATTACTTTTCCAGTAAGATTAGTATCTTTTAAATTAGACTTTCAGGTCTAGATTGCAACTTTTTAAAAGTCATTTTACTGCAATGGAAAAAGGGTATCAACAACTTTGTTTTCTCTTGTAAATATCTTAAAAAATGAAGAAAATAAAATGACTCAGAACTTTTTAAATAAGGAATGGAGGCATTTTATACTATTTTTGTTTTTTCTGAAATTGTCTCTATTGATTTTAGTTTATTTTCACTTACACCAGCTTTGTCCATTAACAGTAATTCCATTTGACACTGAAGACAGGTGATACTTGACTTTCTTTCTGTCTTTTTCTCATGGCTTAGCTGTAACACATTCTAGTGACTGCTGGAGCAAATCCTTTCATGTTTAGTGCCATTTTATAATGAGATCTTGATAACATAAGTGTTGCTGATTTTGAGATGCATAAAAGCAGGAGAACTCACTGTTGGATAATGAAGCAAATTCCCCAAGCCATCAGCTGCTCTGATCTCACTCAGTCAAGATCGGTTTTGTGACCGTGCACTAATGCCAGGATTCTTTGAGTTCCCTTGTAGCAGAGAAAAGGTTGTTTGTCAGAAGCCCAAGCAGCTCTGGGTTCATTGTATTTGTAAGCTTTTGTAGTTAAGTGCTCCTGTAATTCAAGGGCTTCTCTTACTGACGTTTGATTCAGCAGCAGCAGAACAAATGCTGATATGCCAAGCAGTAATCAGAAGAATAAGTACAGAAGGTCTGCAGTGTTAACTTTTCTTTCAAGTGAACTTAAATGAGTAAGAAAATTGATTTACATTGACTGCTACTGTGAAGGAACAGTAGGCAGCAGCATTCAGAGATATTCTTTGTTTCTTTTTAGGCAACCATTTGGCGGACCATCAACAACTTGGCCCTATTCTGAGAGCCAGTGATGTAGAGAATTATGAAAGACGAAACCATGTGAGAGTAAAAGAAGGCTCTGAAAACTTGGAGAAAGGTAATCCTACCTTATTGCTGTAGAATAGTATAAAAGGAGGTGCTAAATAGGAGTAACATGGCAAAAGCAGTAAGAGCTCCAAGAACCTTTGCTTGCTCCAGGGATGGAGGTAAGGAGACAAGATAAGTGCAGAGCAAATAGAGTGGTAAAGCAAAGGACAAACATGTTAATCAAGAGTTGTAAAACTGAGAGGTTTCAGGTTTTGTTCAGCCTTAGAGTAATAGTACAGGAACTGGAAGAAGGCCTTACACCTGAAAGCGTTCTCTATGTGTGAAAGATGTTTGGTATTATAGTTGTTTATGACAATAAGACTGAACTCAGATACCCTGAAAGTTTCTTCCCATATCATGGCCTACAGTTCTAAGCACAACAACATGATGAAAAATTAGAAGGGTAAATAACAACCTATAAGAAAAAAACATTAATAATATATCTAGGGGTCATCTAATGAGAATTCTGTTTTCTTTCTCTAAGATGATATTTTTCATCCAACAATATGGAGAAGTTCCCATCATACATTTTTAAAACGGATTGCCTTTTCCCATGGATTAATTTCAGGGTACTAAAGCTTTTAGTCTGAGACCACATCAACTTATTCAAATCATGTTGGGCATACCAAGTTAGTTGAAGTTAAAGTAAAAAAAAAAAAAAAAACAAAAAACCAAACAACAAAACCCTAGCAGAATATCAGACTCAGCTAGAATTTTTCTTTTCAGTTGTCTGTTGACTTTACTATAAAAAGAAGTAGTCTTCCAAAATAGTACACAGGAGTGTGTTTATCTCAAGCTACTTGATGTCTTTTGAGAAGCTTAGAGTATGAGATTCTCTTTCATGTTTCTAGTGATGACAAAAGAAAAGGGAAAATCAAAAGACAAAGAAGTGAAATAAATGAAAGTATATTTGGTAATTAACTAGGGATGTCTTTAAAATGAAAGTGAGTTTATATGCAGAATATTAAATACAGTTTTGTTTTATAATGTAATAATTAATGTTCTTTATTTTGATTCCGACTACTTAGTTTAACTGACCATTTAGGTACTTAAGGGGAAGAAACAGTTAGTTACTCATGATAGCAAAGTAATAAAAAGAAAACTTTAGCTGAGAGATGTAGTGTGTAATTAAGAGAGATAATGCCAGGTTATTCTGAAAGTTCACTTACACTTTTTAGCTAATCCCATTTTAAATGTGTGGGAAGAGTCACTGTCAGGTCACATTTAATTTTCTTAGGCTTTCAGAGGAAAGACAATATTCAGTGCTCTTAGCCTTGGCCTTGTAAAATTTAAATTCTGTCCAGTTTTCATCTTATCTGGACTTCAGCTGTGTTCAAGATGCCGGGATGTTGGGCACATAAGGAGAAGAGGGTTCAGAAAGGCTGTGCTGTATCAGGGTTTTGAATGAGCAGGTGTGTGGTTGCTTGCTCTACACTTTGCCTTCCTGGATGATGACATAGAAATATGTCTTTCAGTTCCTTGCCTGCTTGAGGAGTTCTGCTGTCTTAACCTACACAATCTGGATCAGCCATCTGGGGCCAAGCACCTGCATTTTAGGCATTGAAGCGCCTTAGTTGCCCTTATTCATTTGGTTTTGTAAGATTCTTTTAATGAGGTAGAAAGGGAAATACAGCAGTGTTTATCCTAGCAAGGTAAGACTAGATGGATGTATAGTATATGTAAGTAGGTGAGAACAGAGTAAGCCAATGTTTCAATTTCTGATGGAGAATAAATGGGGTTAGTTTTTTCTTACCATAAATTACTACGGAAAATATAGGCTTTAATATATATTTTCAGTTTATAATGCTGAGATTATTACAATATTTTCTAATCTATGGGGTTGACTATTTTTTTTTCTGTTACTACAGATGAGCTGACTGGCATCCTTAAAAAATTGTCACTTGAGAAATATCAGCCCATATTTGAGGAGCAGGAGGTATGTCTTTTAGAAAAGATCTTTTTTTTTTACCATTTTAATGAAAGTAGGGTATAACACATTGCATCAGATTTGTGATCCAGAATCAAGTTCTACAACCATTCCTGATTTCAGAGAGAACCTTGAAACATAGACCAAGTGATATTTGTGGCATTCTCCAGAATAATGCAAATAACAGAGCTTTTTACACTTAACCTACAGCTTTTTGTATACATAGGGTTTTTTTCCTCTCTGTTGTTACACTCTGCTTTTTCTATATATGTCTGTATCCAATGTGACTAAACAGTTCATAAGACATACTATATCATCCCTGGAATCACAGCTGAAACCTCATTTTCAGAAGGAGAACAGCAAGGTGTGAGTCACCGAGATGGCTGCTTTATTTCTTTATCTGCTGTGCATAAGCAATAGAAGAATTAAACTGGGGAGCATAGCCATAGATGAGAGCTGTGACTCACTGAAGGATGCAATGAAAGGAAATGTTGCTGAAAATAAGTAAAAGTAATTCATTACAATATTTAAGGCAGGATCAGATGTGAGCAAATATTGTGTGTTTATTTGGTCAAAGAAAAGGGTAGTGAACGGACATGCAGTAAGCTGACATTGCTAAGAGTTCAAAATTCAGCACAAGCCCAGACAATTTAGCTGCATTACAATATATTGGGTTATTATTTATTAGTATTCCTGCGCATGATAGGCAAGTGAGCATTGATTAGAAATTGATTTGCTTTGTGTGTGAAGGTTATATCAATATGAAAAGTGTCAGATATTTGTTCTTATCACAACCTTATGGATATGTTGATATAATAAAAACTGATATATGAACAAATCCTAGGTTTGTCTCAGGAGACACTGGAAAAGTAAACACAATATTCTGAAATTCCAGAAATACTTAGGGGGAAAGGGTGAAGAAAAGAGAGAAACCTTAGCTTTATTCAGGTAGCTGCTACTGTAGGCAGAGGACTTTCTGTGGAGATGATATATTCTGAATTAATAGAACTTGATGGGAAAAAAACTAAAAATCCATTAATATTTAGGATGTACTATCATGATTAGTTGAATGTTTAACAGCAAATTAGAAGCCTTACAACAGAGTGGTAAAGTATGTACCATTTGGTGCTGGTAATTCATTAGAAATTCTTTTTTGCACAATATTTACATTAAATCTATACAATTAAAAAAACCCAACAAACCTCTTTTAACCTGTAGTAATGAATCTTTGCGTAGGTAAATTTATGTTACGTTTTATTTCTTCTTTTTTTTTTTTAATATGCAGGTGGATATGGAAGCTTTCCTCACACTTACTGATGGTGATCTGAAAGAGCTGGGTATTAAAACGGATGGATCAAGGCAGCAAATTTTGGCAGCTATTTCTGAACTGAATGCAGGAAAGGTACATTTTAAAGTACTGTACGCTGTAAATTATTTCAAGGTTTTTTTATACAATTAATTCAACATACATTTTGAAATTCAGTTGCGGATGTTAGTTAGAAAAGCTAAAATATTTTTTTCCAAACACAGTGTTTCATGTATTTGACTAGTAAAAATTCTTCCTTTCTGGCACTTCCTGTTCTCTTTCAGTAATTCTTTCCTAGTCCAGTGAACAAGCTACTTGGAAACATGAGCAATTTTGCAGTTTCTCAATATTGATTTCAGCAGTGCTAAAAAGAATCACATGGCTGCAATAGTGTAGCTAGAGAACGTAGTATAAGAGGAAGGGTGTCCTATAGTTAAAAGGTTTTGATTCCTGTGTGATCAGGTGAATAGTGCTCCTCTTCCTCTTCCTCTTCCTCTTCCTCTTCCTCTTCCTCTTCCTCTTCCTCTTCCTCTTCCTCTTCCTCTTCCTCTTCCTCTTCCTCTTCCTC